TTGTTTTTAAAATAATTGTGTGAAACAAAATGAACCCTGTATCATGTGTGGAATTCAACTTAAGACGATTTAATTAGCATAAACTAACTTAGACCTAGAATTTAACTCTAGGCAAAGAATTTATTTATAAAGATAACCTAATTGTAAAAGAGAGCTAAATAATAAACTATCAGTTTCTCTAATCCACTGAGTAACCCTTAATGAAAGATGCAAATTCCACAACAAGCTGTGAACTATGGGTATTCCACTGACCATTTTTCCATGGTTTGGTGCAGGGATTCTCTGGAAACATGATGAGGCCAAGAGGGTCAGTGTGGACCATCCTTTCATCTACGATAACGTGGAAAATTACTGGAAAACCCCAAAGGATTTGCCCATTCAGCTTTGTAAGAAATCGCCACTAAAAATTCACTCCACTTAGCCTCTCTCTTTCATTGAGAATTTTGGGCATATGATTCTTTGAGCTGTGAGTGACACAGTTAAACACTACACAGCAGATAAAATGTAGCTGGGGGTTCCTGTCTTACTGAGTCCTTATCTCGCTTGAGTTAACTAGAGTTAACTCTTTTGGTTCCTTTCCCTTAAACAGGAAGTGAAGATATTTACTCAATCCTGATGGACACAAAACACCCTCCTGCCTCTACTGATATCAAACAAGGCTGCCCTTATTCCACCGAGCTGATGAATAGGGATCATGTACCACTGTTCATGCTGGGTATTCTCCAAGGGCATTATAGGTAATTGTCTTCACTCTACTGAAGGGCTCACAAGGTTCTTTCTTGTAATCTAATGGTACCTCAATTACCCATATCACTTTCCGAGATTTCCTTAAAATCAGGACTGTCACTGTCTGATCTTCACCACAGGCATCTAGGGAAACAGTTAAGCATTGTGTAAAGTCACAGCATCAAACATTATTAAGTCCCCAGGAAAAGTATCCTTCTTAGAGACCCAGAATGAACACTTGGTTTCCAGACTGCATCCCATCTCAATGTGAAATCACCTCTCATCACTATAGGTATTGTTTATTACTATATATATGGTACAAGTATTTTATTTTCATATACAAAGCACATATTTCTAGCTATCTAACTGGGCCTTTTATCTGTCAGAGAATTGGAGATTGAGCCCTTGCTGAGTAGATTAATAATTTTACATTCTCATGTGCTATTATTAAAATTTAGAGAACTCTTAAGCCAGTAGAGATGAGTTTGCAAGTATATGAAAATAAAAAGGGGCTGTTGGTGGTTATGGTTCCCAAACATCTCATAAATCTCTGAATCATTTATTTCTAGCTTCATGAGGAAGAAACTGAGTTGAAGCAAGGTGTTTATTATCCACTTAGTGAGGGGGGAAAAGCTGCAGCCCCTCACAAGAGATACGTGGCTTTTTTTCCTGCTGCAGAACTTCCCCAAAGCACACTGAGTCCTGATGCCATGGTTTCCCCCGTGGAGAAGTATTTCTCTCCCTACCTGGGAAGAAACATCCTGAAATTTCCTCTCCAATTGGACTTTCCTGGACGTGTGGAAAGCAGAAGCAATATCCTCCGCCAAGTAAAGCAGCCAAGAGCTAACTGAACTTCCTCATGTGTTCCAGGGCTTTCCCAAAGCTCTTTCACATTTCAAAAGAAGTCCGCAGATCCTAAACCCATTTTCCTCATTTGACAGCTACGGAAATACTGAGAGTGAATTATCTACTGACTGAGATTGGGATGAGGAATAGAATACTCGACAGGACTATAACTTGTAGGAAAATCAAAACATTTTCTTTGATACTTATTTTGCAGCAGCTACTGCTACAAAGCAACAAGAATAGCCATTATGTGACACAAGTTCTAATTTTCTAACACGCTAGAATCCAAAAACTTCATAGGTATTTCTCAAGGAGAAAATCCTGCTGGAAATGGCATTTTGGTAGAAACGGAGAAGGAAAAAACATCCCCTCTGTTTTCCGTAGAGGAAAATGTCTTATTTGTGGCGAACATGAAACAATGATGAAATATGACATTCTCATGGAACAGTCTCACGATTTTTACTTATAAAATGACATTCTTTGAGTAGTTTAACACAGGGACTTGGTATGAAAAGGAACATGGGGGGGCCTATCAACAAATGAAGCTAATACTGCATTGAACTTTCTGAGAAAAAAAAATCTAACCAAATACATTTTGTTATAATTAGTGATTTACATTTTTTAACACAAACTCCAGGGCAATGTTTTAAAGTCTAGAAACATAAAATAAGAGTTGGGATTCAGCAAATGCTGAATTCTGAGCAACGTCCTGAGAAGATGCATTTTTCTTTTTGGCCCAATTCTGAGTTGTATTTGCCCAGTTACAAGAACTGGCACTCACAGGGAATTTTTCACTCATTTGATAAATACTTATTAAGAGCCCATTATACACCAGGCAGTGGGGATATAGCCCTAAACAAGAGAGACTTGGTCCATGCCGTCAAGATGTTCCCAGCCCAGCAGACAAGGCAAATACGAAGCACACACAGGATGTCAACCTGTACCAGGAATCTTGTGAAATGAGCTATGGCATTAAACAATCACTCCCAGCTTTCCTAACCAAATGCAAGCTCAGGACAAATGCTTAACTGACAGATAACTAAACAAAACGTAGACCTATCTCATTTTTTCTGCCTATGCTTTAGTTGAAACACTTGATGACTAATCTAACAACCCATAACAGGATTCTTATTCTGGTTCTATCATTTACACATACTGGACTGGTGATCTCCTTTTAAAATGAAAATCCTAAATTTTGGTGTTCGCACCCTGACTGTGATTTATTTTTTGTCACCTCTAAATGGGTTATTCTATTAAATTAATCAGGTATTCAAAAAGTGTTGGTTCATAACAGGCACAGCTTATGTTGTTTCACATAACTTTGAATTAATTAATCTAATAAAGACTTTAAGATTTCTGGACAGATCTTTTATTTTTACACATTTTTAATTCAATTTTACAAAATGTAATGATACCTATCCAGTACTGAATAGCTACTATGAACTAAGTGGGGTTTTGTTAACATGATTACTGGTAAACCTGCCCTCCCCCTACAGCCCTATAAGGTACTATTGGCCCGATTTTATAGTTGAAGGGCTGAGAAGTTGAGAGAGTTTCCCAGCACCACACAGCTAGTTAGTGTAAAGGCAGCAATGGAACCTCTGATTATCTGACTGGTTATTTTATTCTCTTTACAGTCCTAAATTGAGTTAATAGTTCTCACCCACTGGGGTTCCATGTAGAATTATTCATTGTGCCACATTATAACGATGTTATAGTAATGCAGTAAAAGCTTTCAAGCAACCAGAGTCCAATCAAACATCTAGGGTGGAATAAAACATTGGATTAACTAGTGAAATGAAATGTAAAATAACTTCTCAGGTAAATGGCAAGTCAATGGAGCGTTTCTAACTATGAAGTCTTTGCTAAAATGAGCAAAGGGCATCAAGCATTGCTACCAGCACCCTCCTGGCTGTGTGAAACTCGTGGGAAAAGAGGGACAATCATCTCGCATTAAGCGGCGGGTTGGCCTGGAAATTCATCAAGAAATGCTGGGTCAGGGAGAGCTTGTGTTTCTCATTTTGGTCTATCTCCAGCGGAACTAGTCCTACAACAGTTCCACTGAATTGCTGCGAGGCCAGGTCACCTGTTTATGGAGGGATGGTCCACATTTTGTTAGTAAAGCCAGATCACTACCACCATCGCTCTGCAAAAATCATCAGACATCCCCAGTAAAACATGGAGCTCTTTCTGGGTGAATAGGAATATAAACTTTAAAGTCTAAAGGGAAATGCACATGGATCAAACAGCTCTGCACCAGCTCCCTAAAAGCTCCCAGCTGAGGTTAGATACCCAAGTGAACAGCCGCGGCCAGCTGCCTGCACCCAGAAAGCTTCGGGCGATTTATAGATTGTCAAGGAAACTGAGATCCATCCCGAGGCTCAGTTCCTAAGGTCTGGCCGCTTTTAAGGGCTGTCTCACCCCTTCCAGCACAGCGGCTCCAGGACACAAGAGATCTGCCAATACCGTTCACTAGGCACTCATGCTGGGGAGTCACTTAAAAGGAAACACGTCCCTTTCGGCTTGGGGGTAGCATGCTCGCCATTCAACGCCCTACTGGCTTCTGAACACCCATATGATTAATATTGGTACCCAGCAAAGAGAACTTCTTCTGACCTTGAGCGTGCGCGCTAAATAAATTACCTCGGAACGAAAGTGATGTGATCTCAAAACAGCATCTGCGGGAAAAAAGAAGAAAAACGAGACGTCAATTAACTCCTTGTTCTTCACCTGCCGAGTCACGGACGACTTACCCGAGAGACGAGGGTCGGGGAGGCGCGTTCCGGACGCCTCTAACGCAGTGGGGACAGCCTGCTGGGAGGGCTGTTTACTAGGCCATCGGTCTCTAGGTGATTTCTCCGCGAGAAGTTTCAGGGAAAGTTCTGGGGGAGTTGGGGAGCCCCGAACTCTCCATGCCCCATGGTCCAGCGCCGGCCGGAGGGTGGGGGTGGACGAGGCTGCCGCAGCCCGGACTCCGCTCAAGTCATCCCCAGGGCTTAAGCACACTGACACCAGGCATCTGGTGCGTTCCCCCCACCTCCCGGCGCTCTGCTTCCCGCGGTCACCCCAATCCGGCCGACCCGAGGAGGGGGACAGGGACGCTAAACAAGGAAACGCACTGGGCTAGGGGAGCGGTCGCGGATAGGGTAGAGGGAGCAGCGCGGAAGCCAGAGAGCGCGCTTCCCTCTTCAAATCGGCTTAAAGGTTCCTTCCGGCCCGAGTAAGCCCGTCGCGGGGTGTGTTACCTCGGCTCCTTGAACGACCCGAAAAGACCGATTTCATCGGATGCCTCGCCTTCTGGAGCCTGCGGTGCCAGCAGCAGAAGAAGATGATGGTGGCGATGGTGCCCAGCAGAAGCAACAAGAGGAAAAGGGCACATTGGATGCTGTAGGGTCTCAGCAAGACGAGGAAAGCGGCGGCAATCATGGTGCGGGGCGAAGCGGCGGCGGCTGCCGGCGGGGCTGGAGGGCGGCGGCACAAGCACCCGCGCGGGGCGCACGCTGAGCTGCGGGCACGGGCGAGCGCAGCTCAGCGCGTCATGCCCGACGCTTGCGGCCCCGCGCCCGGCCCAATGGCTGCGCACTCGCGTCCGCCGCGCTACGCGAGTGAGCCCGGGCTGCGGGCAGCGCTGGCCATGACTCAGCAGACCGCGACCTGGCACGGACTTGGCCGCGGGTAGCCCACCCCGCCCTCCCCGGGCGCCCCCGCCCCCACCCGTGCGCAGCCCCCGGGCGCGGCCCCGCCGGAGACGCGGCGGACGGGGAGGGGCAGCGCCGCCGGCAACTGAGCCACCCGGACTCTGCGCATCGTCCCACGGCCACCGCCGGCCTCTGCATCCCCGAAGCCGGGAGCACGTGGGGCGGGGCGGGGACGCGGCGGCCCGCGGGGGGCGGGCGTGGGGCGTCGCGGCGGGGGCTCAGCGGATGACATCACGGCCGAGCTGCGGCAGCGCGGGCGCGCGGACATGGCTGCTACGGCTCCGGCGGCAGCCGCGGGCTGCGCCCGGGCCTGAGCGCCCAGCGCCATCCCGCGGGGCCGCCCGCCGGTCCGCACTGTCCGGGGGGCACGGGCCGGGCGCCCTCCGTTCCCGGACGCCCGGGCTGCCACCTCTCCAGCCTCCCGTGCCCAGATCGCTGGAAGCCCGGCGACAGGGGGCGCCCCGGAGCCACGGGGAGACCGCGAGGCGCCGACTGGAGCCTGCAGGCGGTGCTGCCCCTGCCTCCCACCTCCCCGCGCCCCACCCCGAGGCTGGGGCTTCGGAGGATGCAGCTGGGTGAGCTATTGCTTGCGGGGGGTTCCTGCACGCCGAAGCGTGAGCCCCGGGCAGGGCCTTTCCTGGGAATCGGGGTCCCCCGGAACAGGGGGCCCGTCCCGTCCGTCCCCCCTGAACTGGGCGCGCTCCCCGGCGGAGCGCTCGGGTCTGCAGACTTGAACTCTGTCACTCAGCCGAGAAGGGGGCACTTTGCATCCTCTTATATCCATGTTGACCCTAAAACCTTGCCTCCTTTAGTGCAATTGGAGGGAGAGGCAATTTCAGATTGAGGAACCAGCAGATGGAGGAAGTTGGAGATTGGCTTGTAAATATTTTGAGGAGAGATTTTGTAGGGCGAGTGAGGAAGTAGTGATCTATCACACTCAAAACGCACACACTCCCTTTCTCCCTCTTGCCCCCTCCCCTTTCTTCGTAATCAGCAAAAGGAATCCTGCAGTTGGAGATTTTCCCGGGGCCGCTGGCGCAGTGCGGACGCGGGAGGCGCGGCGGGGGCGCTGCAGTGGCCTCTGTCCCTGCGGCCGCCGGGCCACCTGGCCCGGACCAATTGCGACAGTGACCTCAGCCGGCCGGTGCTCTGTCGCCTTCTGCTGCTCCTGAGCCAGTGCTGGCTTTTCCCGTGCGGGGCTGGGTTTTGCTTGTTTTGTTTGCTCGCGTAGAGAAACTGCAATTATAGTGACAAGGTAACCCATTACTGCATTTGTGGAGTTGCTAGTAACTACTAGGGTGGACTCTGGAATATTTCGGAGACTGAAGAAATTGTGTCTTAATAAAGTATTTTGTAAAATTCCGGAAAGCAGTTCAAAAATCGATGACAGTACTTAATTTTGTTATTTGTTTGTAGGATCTCAAGATCAGTGTGGTTTTCTAACTATACAAAATACACTATTCAGCTCTGCATAAAGGCTTACCACTGATGTTCTTAAGGCCTTTAATGTATTACCACGTGTAAGCATTAAAGGACACTCAAAAAGGCATTGACTAATGCACGTCTTAAATGCCAGATTCATCACCATGGGAAACAATGGATTGAGTTTTCTTATGTACATCTTGTTTCCTACGATAAAATAAGCATTATCTCATTCAGTTGTACTGGTTTGAAGGTGGACCTTGCTTGCAAATGCTGTATAAAGTGAGAATGGTGAATCAGAGTGCCTGCAGGATGGGCTTACAAGGTCCCTGGCTCTGGGGCTGACAGGTAGCACTGCATTTGTGCAGGTAGCTCAAAGGTTTCCTGATACCGCAGCCACTGCAGTGGGAGACCACATTCCCATCCACTGTGCAGGGGTTATTGAGGAGAAGCCTGGGAGCCTGCTGTGTGGGGCACAACAGGAAAGGAAGAATTCTGTACCGCATTGCCTCACAGTGGCCTGGTGGAGTAATTTAAAACAACAACAAAACTGAATTAACCTTTTGCAAACATTGGGAGAAATAACTAATGAGGAAGGTCATCGTTACTTTATACTTATTGAGGAAAATTTGTGAGTGAGCTGAAATGGCCCTAAATATCCTTGAAACATGCCGAAGACCGCAAATACAGCATAGTAACCATTTTGCCCCAAACTGTGCTTTTATAACAACAGAAAGCAACTAAATAGCAATTATGATTTTGAGTTACGACTTTAGCACAATTGTTATCACTCTGAGTCTTGCTGCAGCCATTTGTAAGTTTGAAGTGCACACAAGAACATCATTTATCTCTTTTGGCAGGCAAATACTTAACTGCCCTGCAGTAGGATTATAGATATTTCTTTTTAGATGCGTTCATTTCTGTTCTCTGCATCAGTTATCTCAAGGATACTAATAATAATAATAAGCAAACCAAATCGTTGAAAAAATTTAGTATTTAGGCTCCATTGTTTTCTGCTTTGTTTGTTGCTAATTTATCACTCCCTTCTCCAAATGGCATGTTACTAATTGCTTCTTTCTGTGTGTTTGTGTGATGCTAATGCGTTGTGGAATTCAATAAATATTAAATCAACCAATCAATCCTTTTTGGAAGTTAATTTAGTAAAATTCATACCTTTTCTTTCTGATAGATTTTCATTAAAAAAGAATAATTGACATTATATCAAATTCACAAATTTAAAGTTTGGAGGTAGGGGTGGAGGAGGAAAGTCCATGGCCGAATCTTTCATACTAAAGAATGAAAAAATGAAAATGGAAAAGTATATATAATTTTTTGACTTTTTATGATAGCGAGCTAGCACTGTCACACAAGAGAAGACAAATGAGTTGGGGAAATTAGTTAAGAGAGTTTGGTATCTGGTATGTAGAAGATGGTCCACCCTGCAGCCCTTTTTCCCTTTAGATGCTCAACCAAATTGAGAACACACACGAGGAACCGAAAGGAAATTAAAATGTTAACCCTATTCAGGGTGAAGTCAGATTGAAGACCATAGCTTAGGCTCAAAGCCAAAATGGGGCATCTTATTCCTTTTCCACTAACTCTTCACCCCCGCCCAGTCACAGCTAAAGAATTACAGTCCTTCCCAACAGTAAAGCAGGAAAGAACCCTACCTGTACTACTTCTCACCTGAAGACCAGAGGCTAAAAAGAGCCTGACACTCTCCAATCCACGAGGCCTGCAGCACGAGTGAGCAAGAGGCAGGACCGTGTGTGAGGAGGGACCTTTCATATACCAGCCCTGCCCATTGGTGGCCCCAGGCCCTCCCCAAGGCCCCTCATCACTGAGTCATTCTGCTCCCAAAGATAAGAGTAAGTGGCTTTAATAACATGACAGAAACATCTTCTGCAGTACCTCCCTAGAGGTAGGAAGTTATGGCACAAATTCCTGATGTTTGGGTCAGGGAGAAATATAGAAAAGAAGAGAAGGATCCATCTAAGCTGTGTGGTGACCAATTGAGGGAAAGGCAGGGATTGCAGAGGACTCAAGTTTTGGGCTCGGGTGAAGGAAGAGTTGTGAAGGCAGAGGTGACAAACTGAGTTTCAGACCCATTGAGGGGCAGAGGTGTCAGAAGGTCATCCGTGTGAAATTACCCATGAAAACACGGCTGGAGACTGAGAACCAGAGACAGATGGGAATCACCCACATCAATTATAGTTGAAGTCACTGATGTGGACGAAATGACTATGGAAGAGAAAGTGTAGAAAGAACTGGTATCAGTTGAGGTCTATCCTGATGGGGCTTTTTCTGTAAACCTGCATCGCTGAAAACGCCTCGTAGAGTAACTATGTGGTTTCCTTTACTCATAGAACTACGTGTTAGATCTGTGGGGAAGAACTACAAGACAGAGCTGCCAAGTGAACTGTGAAAAGCGAAACAGTCAAACTTTTTTTATCTTAGGTATTTGGCACATCCCAATGATCTCTACTGTTCTAGGGTGTGACAGCTTAGGAGTGAATACGATTTGAACTTAATGCATTTTTAAAGGGTATCTAAAATTCAGAACCAGGCAGATCCATCTCCTGACCCTAAACATGGTCCTAAAGAAAGCTGCTTGAGGAAATTGGATCCCAAAGATTACAGGTGGGGAATTTTGAAGTTTGTCCATATTCCATTGGAGATCAAAGAAGCCCAACTAAAAGGATTGTGGACGGACTGACATGACAACTGTGGATTGAGCAAAACTTCTTTTAGCAAGGGCTACCTTATCTTGAAGGTTCTGGCTTTGGTGAAACAAAGGTGATTGGCAGTGGAAAAAATCAGAACATGTGAAATTCCTTAAAAATTTATTGACTGAAATAATTTTGCCTATGTTACACATAATTTAATAAAAAGAAAAAAACCTTTACACTTTGTGCAGAAAGTAAAAAAAAAAACAAAACCAAAAACTGGAATCAGAGCTTTGGAGATATCTTCCCCTTGTGGACTGGAGAAGGAGAGCAGATGACACGTGGGAAGTGCTTCCAGTTCAGGGGTTCCCAGGACAGATGCACCTCTGGGGTAAGGAGCCTGAGGACTGAGGACCAGTGATGATGAGCCCTCTGCACACCTTCCGGGGAACTGGCTCATCGCAGTGGGAGAGGCTGAACCTGGACGGGAGTGGATTGGAGAGGGACGAGGACGTGGGAAAGAGGCAAGAGCGCTGTCTACAGTCTTTGGAGAAATTTAACTCTAGAATGCATGGGTAGAAATGCAAGTAAAGCCTGAGTAAAGGGCAACACATGGGCTTTTGTCAGGACAGAGGTACAACTTGGGAGATGGAGCCAGCAGTGGGAGAGAAACTGAGAGTTGAAGGGAGGGGAGAAGGTGACCTCTCCAATGCGTTTGTGGTTTAGATACTTGTCCTCATGCTCCCTGGGTACCCCAGACCAGTTCTTTCTGCTCTCAGACTGCCTTTGACTCTGCAGAATTAAAACTGACCCTGACTGGTTGTGATGGCTCCCTGCCCCTGGGCCCCTCCCCACCAGCCCTGGCTACTCATGCTCAGACTAGAAGAAGGATTTTTAGGGAAAGAGAACGAATGCCTTGGAATGTAGCTCTGGCTGTTTGTAAGCGTTTATTACAAACCTCGATAGAAGGTAGTAGATGACCCAACTGGTAATCACACAGAGACATTCCATTGGAATGTTACCCCCTTGAAAACAAAAAGTTTGGGTAAGAATGGCTCTAGCAATAAATGATTTGAAGTAAATCATACTGATTTTGGACTGGCAACCTTCTTGATCCTAAGTGAAGTTTTTTACTCTCAGAAATCAATGGCATGAAAGGAATTGGGAGGAATCTGAGGAAACATGTTGTATACCTGTTTATTCCCAAATAGTTTTCATGGCAGTCTGAGACCAGGGCCTATGCCAACCATATACATGTTCTTGTATTGAAAGTTCAAGGAGCTACATCATTTGGGAGCACCTACAGCAACTAACATAATCTTGGAGGCAATTTCCAGCCACCAGAATCAGGGGAGCCATCATATAGATGCATCACTATTGTCTTTTTAAATTTTGCATTTATGAAGGAGAAACAATTGTTATTTGCAATCATATCAAATATTTGCAGCAAATATATCCCAGGAAAGGACTTTATTTTACAATAATAA